TCCTCCAACATTCCTCTATGCATGTATATGTAATAATATACAAAATACACGAATCCACATATTGTTGCCCCCCAGTAAAGTTCAGTTCAGTCATCTGGTGTATTTATCTAAACTTGTTGTCTGTTGCAGCGATAATAACTTTGATTAATTACTATCCACAGAGTTACTGCCAGGATCCACTGGAACACTTCATTCAAAGGAGAAACTGCACAAATACACACACACATACACACACACATGCACACACATACACACTTGTCTCTCTATAGTTGTGAGGACACTCATTGGCATAATGTATTCACTGCAAGTTTGTGTAGCCATCCTTGTTGGGACACTGCATTGAAATCCATTCACTGCTGACAGCCTGATTCAAACCTCATCCCAAACTTTACCATGATCAAGTCACACTCTAACCAGTCCCCATGTGGTCCACTGGTCCTGACAAGGTCTGTGCTGGACACGGTCCTGAAGAAGTAACACACACACACACACACACACACACACACACACACAGTATTTCTGCTCTTCATCGTTTAACATGTCGATGACCAAATATGGTCACAGTGAGTTCAGGACTACATTTAAACTTCTCAAACTTCAGCTCCAGTTCTCAGAGAGTTTGAGTTTCAGCGCTAACTCGAACTTGGACCTCTTCCTGCAGCAGCTCGTCATTAGCGCTTCACAAATGTGTTACCTCCGGGTTTCTCCTCACGTCCATGGCCGCGGACATGTTCAGATTGTAATCCTCCAGAGACGCACAGATCCCGCTCCGTCTACGCGTTGAGAAGCTGCTCCAGAGGACACCTGAACCTCCTCGGTGAGCTCCGACTCATGTCTGTCCAAGTAAAACCGACAGAGAGAAGAGTGCAGGCTCCTCTTCCACAGACACAGACCAGGGACACAGACCAGGGACACAGACCATAGAGACACAGACCACTGTGCTGCTGCTGCTGCTGCTGCACAGGGGAGGCAGGACTTGTTGCCATGGAGATGGGTTGTTTGCCCCCCCTCGCCTCTTCAACTTTTCTCGGGATTTGCCCCTCCTCCTCCTCCATGTGTGCCCCTCTCCTCAGCCATTCACTCTCTCTCTCTCTCTCTCTCTCTCTCTCTCTCTCTCTCTATTATCCCTCTATCCCCTATCTCTCTCTATCTCCCTATATACTGTATCTCGTTATCTATCCATTTATCTGTCTATCTATTCCTCCCTCCATCTATCTATCTATCTATCTATCTATCTATCTATCTGTCTATCTATCTGTCTATCTCTCTCTCTATCTATCTCTCCTTCTCTCAATATCTCTCTATCTTTCTATCTCTCTACATATTCTCTCTATCTCCCAGTGTACAGTATATATCTCCCTATATCACTCTCTCTCTATCTCTCTCTACATATTCTCTCTATCTCCAAGTGTACAGTATATATCTCCCTCTATCACTCTCTCTATCTATCTCTCTTTATTTCCCTCTCTCTATCTCTCCCTCCCCTCTCCCCCCCTCTCCTTCGCTCTCCCTCTCTCCTTGTTTATTGTCCTGGTGGGTCGAGGGGTTGAGGAGAGTTGAGGGGGGGGGGCTGAGGAGTGCAGATGAATATTCACCAGCTGAAGACGCTGCCAGCAGAACTGCAACACATTGTTCTGCTCCAATCCTCCGCAGCTCCACACGAATACATTTCACCCACACAAAGATGTCTTTCATTTGTCAACATGATGAATGTGCGACCAAGTACTTGTACTGCAGCACATTTGTTCTAGTAGCCTACAAATAGTAAACCTAAATATAATCACTAAATACTTCTACACAAGTGCTTTTACTCAAGTACACATTTTATCACACTAAAACTATTTACTAAGTACTTTTACCTAATTGCTTTTACTCTAGTAAAAGTTTTATTCATAAATAAGTATTTACTTTTGAAATATTACGAAATATTGTACTTTATTCACAGCAACATTTATAAAACAGCTGCAGTTACTTTACAGATTTAGTTTACTAATACACAAAACACTGCTTGTAAAACAAAGACTATAGCTACTGCAGTTTCTTAGATATATTTATTATAGGATAATCAATAGGGCAACATTTCCATCTGTAATGTAGTAGATGACTTTAAAATTAAAAACATATGTCCACATATTCCACCACTGTTTATACACCTTACATTTATAAAAGCCTTTCTCATTATGAATCTTAATTTCAGTTATGCATAAATATAAATGTTATCGTTTCACAATAAAGTTTGATCTTCATTTTTCTTTCCTGTAATATTCAGTATTCAGCAAAGTAACTACAGCTGTCAGACAAGTGTAGTAAGCATAAAGTAAAATAAATAGCATTAAACTGAAGTACCCTTTCATAAAAACAGAAGTTATTGAGAAACAAAGATTGAGCGTCTAGTTTTTTCTGACCACCAGGGGTTTAACTCTCCAATCTTCTAAGTGATTTACAGTTGGCCTCCAGGACCTGTGACAACAGGTGACATAAACCTGTGGTTTACAGGTGCGACAAAGTGTGAAACACCCAAACACGCCCGCCAGGGACACTGGGTGCAGTCAACGGTGAAACAGCATTAAGTTACTTTAGCACAGTGATTAAGTAAATGTGCACAGTGTCCTCCAGCTATTGCACGTCTCTGTTGCTTTGGAGCTGAACTAGCAGAAACCACAAAAATGTAAATGTTCACCAAAAATGTAATAAACCAAATGAAATGTAATAAACCACTTAACTCTCTCTGTGCTGAGGTTCTGGAGCATGCTCTGAATAACATGGAGTGTCTCCGTGATGTCAGTAAACCAGCAGTAAACTGTTCATACCAGACAACAAGAGGAATTACAAACATCTAAAGTATATGTCAAGTGATTATCCATTTATATTCACTGGTTCACTGTAAAAACAAAGCTGTTTTCAGACATGAATTGTCCGGAACATGTCTGGAATTGAGGTCCGGATATTTCCCGAAGTTTGCCTTTCACATTTAAAGAACACAGAGGGTCTACATCAGGTGCAGAAATGTGTTCAGGTGAGGGGTGGCACCTGGGTCGAGTGTGCAGGAAGCAGGACATAACACTATGGGACTCACATCGGCCCTTATCACCCAAAGTTGACATCCTCTGCGTCTTTGCACTTCGTTTACATCCTGAAATCTTTGTTTTCTTCTTGTTTTTTCAGTTTTTTGCGTCAGTCACATGTTAGAAACTTCTTCAACGTGCCCACTCAACAGAGCAAGAGAGAAGAAAGTGATTTGTCGGCTGCAAGGTCAAAGGTGAACTGTCAAGCACAAACTTAGATTCAGACTAAGATTTTACTACAAGGGATCAAAAGAGTTTACATTTTGATCCAAAGGAAACATTGAAATCCTTATGATATTGAACAATCCCTCCTCCATTCATGGTTATGAGTATCTGTACACCTACGAGTAACATCTTTACTGCGAATGTCAAAGCACGGCTCGTCCATAAAACCCACTGCTCTCTGTCTCTTGGGGTGTCTTATCATCCCACAGACTTGGGAACAGAGGAAGTCACAAAACCCAGACATCCGTTATCACAGTTCGTAACATCAAGTCAGCAGGAAGCCGACGGCTCTGCCACTGTGCAGCTTTTCTCAGAGACCCACTCAGAACCTTTCAAGGTCTCGTAAAGACCGTCCTTCCTGAAAACACCATGAGTCCTCAGTGTCTCAGCACAAAAGACAGAGGCTCTGACTCCTCTGCCTTTTTTGTGGGACATTTTACCAGAATGTAACCTAAGCTCTAACTCGTGGAATTCATTGTTCCATTGATCATCACAGGCAGTACCATCTGGATTCCTCATTAAAAGCCACATCCTCCTCTAGCGTGACATAGGAGCATCAAACAGAGTTTAAATCAAAACACAACATTCATCTGTTCCAAGTACAAGTCAGATATGTTCACAAGAATCGTACAGCCTCTAAGAACTTTGTTTTACATTATTTTAAAAGTTAGAAGATTGAGCGCAGTGCTCTGACGTATGATTTTCTTTTCCATTGACATGATTATTCACCTGCAAAAGCCACATTAACAAGGAATAACTGTTTATTATCTCTAAACCTTGTGTGTGTGTTGAGGATCCACCATGAATCCCAAATCCTTTGAGTTTCAGGGGGATTATTCCGCGGCTCTGTGCGGCTTTTGCCACCTACACTCCACAGATTCATCTCAGACCTTTTCTTTCACCTTCTGCACATTCCAGAGGTGTGAGGGGTCGAGGTGGACGCAGGCAAATATTGAACATCATTTCAGAGACAGACCTGAGGCAGCTCTTCAACTCCAGGATTAATGTGGGTGAGTTGACATGTCTGGTCAACTCTCCTGTGGCAGACGGTGGAGACTGCAGCTTGTCTGGTGAGGACGCAAATGTGTCTTTTTCAGATGATCTGACATTAAAAATATAACACTATAATTTGAACACATGCTTTTACTCAGTCTAAAGTCACTGTGTCATTGTAGGAACTGTTGGGTCTCACTATACTTTTGTAAAGTCTCAACCTGACCATAAAGTGCCTTGAGATAATCTGTGCTTTTATTTGGTGCTGTACAAATCAAAATGAAGTTGATTGAATTGTTTTTCAGGAAGAATGAACTGGAATCTGAACTGTTCAGTTATCGATTTTTTTCATTTTAAAGAGATGACAGGACCACGCACAATTAAAACCTGTTTTGACTGCTCTTATGTCTTTTTTACATGTATACTCCATTTTGCAGTCTATGTGAGAGAAAACTATTGAATCTATCATCACCTGAAATAAGAAAATTACTTAAGTATGTGTTAGCAAGGATGAGAGTTTTTCTTGTGTGTGCACCATTGTCAAATACTAATTAACTGAGTTATTAAAAACACTTATTATGAACAATAAAGTGAGTAATTACTTGAATAGTTTAAATCAACAATTATTTGTAACCTCCCTGGTCTTTCTCTTTATTAATTATTAATTATTAATTATTTTCTCTATTCACGCAGAAACAAGTAACAACATGTGACTGTTTGGAGAAATATTTGTGGGATCGCTGCAGCTACAGTCAACAACACTGTGGAGCAGTGAGTAACAATTTTAAACACAAGGTCATTTCTTTATCTTGACATATTTTAGCTTTTCACCACAGAGCAGCCACAACAACAGTCTGATTACCTGCTGAGAAACCTTGAGGGCTAATATAGTGTTAAGATGTGTATGTGTGTGGGTGTGTGTGCTTTTTATAGTTTTAAGGCCCAATTTTGGTTCAGTACCACCATTATGGGGACATTTTGGCTGGTCCTGACAAATTTAAATGGTTGTTTGAGGGTTTTACACTCAGGGTCAGGGCGAGGCCTTCAGTTGTATTGGTTTAGCGTTAATAAAGTTTTGGCAAAACTGAATTCCTGAGCTCCTGGTTAAGTTGAGTGGTAAGATGTGAGTTGTGATGAGGGTAAGCGTTTTAGGGTTAGACATGCACTGGTCATGGTAAAGGTTAGGCATACGGTTTTGGTTGGGCTGTGCACAATGACTGGAAGTCAACACAAAGTCTTGATATGGATAAGCTGTGGAACTGTGTGTCTGTGTTGCACATTGGCATAACAATAAGAACTGAACTGAAACTTGTTGTGACATGAATGAAAAAGTAAACACAAGTGAACAACACCTGAGGAGCGGAAGGAGGCGTTGTTTAAGTTAGAATGGAGCCATCAAATTCATAGGCTGAGGCGCCCCCTGTAGGCTGACTACTATAAATGCAGAACTCAGGCTGAGAGAGACCCACTTTCCCACCCAATCATCAACCAGTGGGTTAAATAGTTTACCAGCGTTGATCAGAGTCAGTGTCTATGAATAACTTAGAGCTGGGTCATGATAATCATGTCAACAATATAACAGAGTGTGAAACACAAAGAGATGTTTTTCTTCTCTTCTGAGCACAAACCAACTAAAGATGCCACAAA